TTATAAAGCTTTGTAATTTTGTCCCTCCATTCTCTAATATACTTTGATTTCATATAATTTTTAAGACTTCCTTCATCTGCATATTGCATTACTATAGCATATTCTTTTGGATTTGGGTCTTGTGAAATGCCATAAATTCTAACAATACGATCATATGGTCCTACATGTTTAAAGTGATTTTGAAGCTTTTATAAAATTGATAAAATTTAATATATTATTTAAAAACCATTAATTATATTAAATTATTTACCTCTTTTAAATACTTATCAGAAATATTTTGTGAACCTTTCAACTTTTTTAATGCTACAATACCACTTTTATAATAAAATCTTTTATTCTGATAAATAAATCTAGGACCATTTGACCAGTAACACTTATATACAGTTGCAAAACCACCTTCACCTACTTTTTTTTCATCTGTGAATTGGTCATAAGGAATCCATTCAAGATAATAATGACTATCAAATCCTTTTGCTTCAAGTTGTGTATTTATAATTATTTCATCTAATTTTTCATTACCACTGTTAGTCTGACTTTGAGCTAACAATTTGGGATCACATGATTGACACCACTGATAATTAGTATTTTGTCTTTCACAAACAGAACAAATTCCATATCCTTTTCTTTCATCTATATTTTATAATTATTTTTTCATTATAGAAACAGGTACTCATTCCAAATAAAAATTATTTTATAAAAAGATTAATTTATAATATAATGTTTTACCTACTTTAATTGTTAGTTATTATAAAAAAATAAACTTATTTAATTAGATGATGTTATAAAATCATTTTGCATTGTAAAAGTCAATTTATAGTATAATACTTACAATTTGGTTTATGAGCTGTTATTATAAAGAAATAAAATAATGTTTTAATAAAAATTATTTTGTATTGTAAAAGGTAATTTATAGTATAATACTTACAATCTGGTTATTATAAATATTTAATTAGATGATGTTTTAATATTAAAATAAAAATTATTTTGTGCTGTAAAAGTTAATTTAGTAGAGAATTGCTATTTCTCACCGGTGGTGATTGTCACCACCTAAGGAATTAAATTTGCGTGGGGCGGAGTTAGGGTTGGGGTTAATCATAAATTGTATAATTCCTTAGGTGGTGACAATCATCACCGGTGAGAAATAGCAATTCCCAATTTAGTATATATAATACTTACCATCTAGTTATTATAAAAATATTTAATTAGATGATGTTTAATAAAAATTATTTGTGTTGTAAAGTTAATTTATAATATTATACTTACAAGCTGTTATTATAAAGAAATAAAAAATAAATTTATAATGTTTTAATAAAAATTATTAGTGTTGTAAAAGTTAATTTATATTATAATACTTACGATCTGGTTGTTATAAAAAAAAAATAATTAGATTATATTTTAATAAAAATTATTATGTGTTGTAAAAGTCAATCTATAGTATAATCCTTACCAACTGGTTATTATAAAAAAAAGAAAAAAGAAAAATATTTAATTAGATGATGATTTAATAAAACTTATTTTGTATTGTAAAAGTCAATTTATAGTATCACACTTACGATCTAGTTGTTATAAAAAAGAATTTAATTTAGACAATGTTTTAATAGAAATTATTTTGGGGTCTGGGACACTTTACTGACAAGACACTTTACCAACAACACACGGGGTTACATTTAATCTCTACACAATCAAACAAACTAATAAAATGCTAAAATATCACATCACGTGTTGTTGGTAAAGTGTCCAGGTCCCATTTTGTTATATAAGTTAATTTATAGTATAATACTTACCAACTGATTATTATAAAGAAGGAAAGAAAAAAACAAAAACATGTAATTAGATGATGTGTTGTAAAAGTCAATTTATAATATAATACTTACCCCCTAGTTATTTATTATATAAAGATATTTAATTAGATGATGGTTTAATAAAAATTATTTTGTGTTGTAAAATTTAATTTATAGTGTAATACTTACACACTGGTTATCATAAAGAAAGAAAAGACAAATGATGTTTAATAAAAATTATTTTGTGTTTTAAAAGTTAATTTATAGTATAATACTTACTCCCTGGTTATTATAATGAAAGAAAGAAAAAAGAAAGATATTTAATTAGATGATGTTTTAATAAAAATTATTTTGTGTTGTAAAAGTTAATTAATAAAATGATGCTTACTCCCTGGTTATTAGGAAATAAAAAATAAATTAATTGGATGATGATAATTATTTTTGTTGTAAAAGTTAATTATAACATTTACCTTTATCAAATTTAGCTGAATATTATTTATTATAAAGCAAAAAATATTAGTTTACCTATTACTTACCATATATTTTTAAAAAGTTATTGTCTGTACAAGAAAAAAATACCTTCATTCATGGAATTAAAGTATTTTTATAATATAGTAAGTAATAATTCTACAAATAATACCGTAAAGTCTTGAAAGATGGCATCCTCTTTTTACATTCAATTTGAGCATAAGATTATCCAAAAAAGGTAACGAATTTATTACACAAAATATTAAAATATATATTAATATTAATTTCTAAATGAAAAAATTTTATTAGCAAACATTTTTGAAATATCCTTATTGCCTTTTTTATATATACTATATTTTTAGAAGGTGCTATCTTTCGGGGGTGATATCTTTCCAGACGGTAACAAGTCATTTTTGACGTGATTATGCATTCAATAATAACTAGTATAGTTTCCACAATTCTTAAAGATTGTCATGAATGTTTAGATACCAAAAAAATTTTATTTGTTATTGATTGCTAATGTTTACTGCTGACCAAGAAATGGTCGAGCTTCAACATCTTAAGAAACCTCTTTCGTAGTCATCACTAGTTAGAGGATAAATAATGCATCCTTTTGGTAACGCTGTTTGTACTTTCAATGAAATAAAATTATATTCATCTAATATACAAAGAAGAATTACTAATTTTCAAACGATGTTGGCTTTCAATTGAAAAACATTATATAGTGATGACGTACAATTGGGACATTTTTAATCATACAAATAAAAGCTAACCGCTTATTCTTTTTTACTTACTATTACGGATTATACTTTTTATGTTGGTGTAGGGCCTGGAGTATTCTAAATTTGTTTTCACGTAAAATTGGCCAACTTTTAAATCAAGTATTTTTCCTATTAAAACCATTCTGCAGGTTGTTCCTTAGGTATTTTTTATTTTTTATCGAGACTGCATTTTTATGTCTTTAGATGATTGATTAAAATTCCTGCCGTGATTTAATTTCATAATTTTAAAACTTAACCCAAGGTACTCCCACAAACTAATTATGACCTGGTAAAATGTATCCGTGTAACTATCGTGGAGTTGCATTTTTAAGGGCTCCAAGAAACTTCTTGGGTAAGTGTGTGTGTCACAAAAATTCTTAATTATTTATTATTTATTTCGGGGAAAGAAAAAAATTTTATTTTAACATCTACATAGAAACAATAACATAACTTTAAAAAAAATGACTACTCAAGAAGCTCCAACTTTTAAACTTGTCTTAGGTAAGTTATTATTATTTTATTTTTTCCAAAACTCTTTTTGATCGAGAAATGAAAAAATACTCATTAAATCTGAACCTTGATTTATGTAACATTGTGATTTGAAATCGATTTTCACTTTCAATGACTTGTGTGAATAGTTGGTGATGGAGGTACTGGAAAGACTACCTTTGTTAAACGTCATTTAACAGGAGAATTCGAGAAGAAATATGTGGGTAAGTAGTCGCAACCGTAAATCAATAATGATAATGTTTTAATGTTATTTTAATACTTGGTATTAATCATAAATTTTTTTTGTTAGCAACCCTTGGTGTTGAAGTTCATCCATTAGCTTTCCATACAAATTTTGGTCCAATTTGTTTTAATGCATGGGACACCGCCGGACAAGAAAAATTTGGAGGACTTAGAGATGGATATTATATTCAAGGCCAATGCGCAATTATTATGTTTGATGTAACTTCACGTATTACATACAAAAATGTTCCAAATTGGCATAGAGATCTAATTCGTGTGTGTGAAAACATTCCTATCGTCCTTTGTGGTAATAAAGTAGATATAAAGGTATAGAAAAATTTTTTTTAAATAAAGAATAAAACTATTACAGAAATAATAATGAAGAGATTGTACATAGTTAATAATATTCTTATTATATTTTTTCATAAAATTTTTTTAAAGGAACGTAAAGTAAAAGCTAAAACTATTACATTTCATCGTAAAAAGAATCTACAATACTATGATATTTCAGCCAAAAGCAATTATAATTTTGAAAAGCCATTTTTATGGTTAGCCAGAAAACTTATTGGGTTTGTTATCATAATAATAATAATCATTATGATATTATTATAATATTTTCCTAAAAATTAAATATTACTATTATTTTTTTTTATAAATGAATAGAAATCCAAATTTAGAGTTTGTTGCTTCTCCAGCACTTGCACCACCAGAATTCGAACTTGATCCTGCTTTAGTTGAACAATACAATAAAGAATTACAAGTTGCTTCAGCCCAACCTCTTCCTGGTACGAGATTTCTTTTTTTTTACTTATTATTATAATTATTCTAATAATTCATCACATAATAATTCTAATATATTTAAAATCAATTCAAAACAGAGGAAGACGATGATCTTTAAACAAATCATTAAGTATAATATATATATATATATATAAATATGCGTGTGAGATAGTAATTTATTTGTAAGTATTTTTTTTTAATCAAACAAATAAAATAAATAAATAATAAATAGTACTTCTATTCATATAATTTTTTTAAAAAAAAAAATACACATTAAAAGATATTATTAGAAAAAGAAATAATTTTTATACTTTTAATAAAAACACTATTTTTTAGCATCATTTTATTATTGTTCAATTATCAAGTGACATTTGATTACATTATCTTTCTTTCAATATAGAAAATTTTATTGGAAAGAATCAAGTCATGAAATTATCCGAATAAGTTTTTGTAACCTATTCCGGATATTCACAATCAATTAATCTTTTAATGAAATCTCCTTTTCAAATTTTTCTAATTGTCTAATGAATCCTGAATTTGGTCTAACAATTTTATGTTTTTCCCTAACTAAATTCAAAGCTTTTTTTAATGAAAATCTACATGAATACATCAAATAAGCAATCACCACTGTTGTTGATCTACTAATACCAGCATAACAATGAACATAAACACGGCCATTTGATTCTTTTGCTTTCTCGATAAATTCAATACATTGATTAAAGTATTTCGATATATTTGATTTTGGATCATCTAAAATGTCGATTTTTAAATATTTAGGAGGATCGAAGTTTTGATATATTTTTTTTGTTGACAGTGATGATGACGGTGATGATTTGTCGTGAGTAACTTTATTGTTACCTACTTGATTGTTTTGTGCAAATTTAGGAATACTGGTATTATCACCATTATTAACACTTTTGCTATTATCTCCATTACCACCACCAGAAGAATAACTTACAAAAAAAGTGGCTCCATTTTTTTTTTTTACGATAGTTGTTCCATCATCATCATTATCATCATTGACATCACATTTATTGTCAAGAATAATGTGATCATTTGTAACTTTATTATTAATATCTTTGCCAACAACTTCTTCCTTAAATTCATCTAAATCATTAGTCATTTCGTCATCAAATTCAAGATTTGAGATTTCATAGTCAATCTTATCTTTAGTTTCCCAAAAATTTGAACAACCTGATAAATTGATGACATGTGTGATATTCCAATTGACAAAATGTGGTAACCAACAAGCAGTTTTTGAGTCACCCAAATAAAAAAAATCTGGTAAAATTATGGTTGGTGGATCACTTTTATATGCAGAAGATTTTGATATTAATTCCATAAGATTACCAGTTGTCCTTTTTTTAGGGTTGCCGATTTTTCGTCTGGGTGATGAAATTGACGATAACACTGTTGATGTTGACGTCGAAGATGCTGCACATGAAGATGATGCTTCTGGTGGCAATAAAGAAGATTCTTGTTTTAAACTTTCCATTATCAATCCTAAAAATTTAATTGAATGCTATATAGGAAATATTTTTATTTAATTTAGTGGAATGAGGCTGTTTAAAATAAAAAAAACCATAAAAATCTGAACAGATTGATCATTGATTGAACAAAATGTTCACAAGTACAACATAAAAAATTTAATATTAACATGTTTGGACATATCATTTTTTTTATCCTGCGTAATAATGGTCACACGACATTTGCATTTGCGAAAAAAAAAGAAAAGTACATTTGTTATTCGTTCCATGTTATGATGTCATGAAAGAGAGGATATTGTGCAAAATCAAAAAGAATTCTTGGAAAAGATGTTTGAGTATAAAAATGTATGCCTAAACATGAAGGTGAATTTATGGATCAAATACGCCCTGACCTACTTGAAGGAGAGAAGGAAAGAATACCTGCAGTTCATTTTCTATCCAAATGACGATGAATGTGGTCCAAATACCATTATGGAAAATGATCAATTATGGTGAGTGAATTTTTAACTGATATTGCATGACATCCAGATGTAACAGATGTTATTTAAAACCCGGAATTAATCAACTTCTTGAGCGAATAGAATACAAGGCAATTCTTATTTTTGCTATTTTGGGACCTTATATCCCTGATTGTGTGTACAGTACTAAATCATTTCTGATTTTAGCAAAGAGACTTTGGTTGCGAGTAGAATGAACTTTGGCCCAATTAGAGAGCGAGACACTGATTTTCGACCAAATAAAAAGCCACAATTAATGGTCTTTCCAGAAATACAGGCCATTTGAAGTATTATTAGAATGTGAAGAAAAAAATTAATGATCCTTCAAGAGTTTTTTGTTATACTCGCTGAGTAATGTCTTTGGAACTTGATTTTCTTGCAGAGTTGAAGAATGCAAGTCATAAATATATCTTTTTCCAAATTCCATTGAGAGATATCGGGGCGCTGCCTAAAGACATTTGTATGAGTATACTTGAAAGGGTTTGCAAAAAGATGTACCTAGAATCTTGAATTTAGTACAATTAGGAAATTTTCAAAGAAATATTGACATCTTTATAAAAAAGGAATTAGTAGAAAGTTGGTAAAATATCCAATTAAAAAGTATAAATCACAAGATAACAAAACATCATAGAAGGAGGAATTGATTATTATTTTTTTTTTAAGCCAATAATAAATAATATGGAAAAGAATAAAATTTAGTTTCGTGCAACATTTTTCATACGTTAAATTCAAATTAGCCAATCAGAATTCCAAAATTTTAATTAACAACAGAAAATTAATTTCTGTTTATTAGCACACATAAAACGTTGTATTATATAATAATAACAATTAAAAAAATTTCCTAATAAGATTTTGATCATGTCATGTTGGCAACGAATAAAAATAGTGTATTATAATAATAATTAAGGAAACTTCTATAAAGAAATTGTTTACATTGCATAGGGGTTCTATTAATTCGTTTTATAATAGTAAATGCTAATCAAAAAGCTTTTCTTTATCAGTTCTATTTCTCCTTTGCATTGATAATAATAATAGTAGTGTTTCTATTCGAATAAGGTTTATTGTTTTGCTCGAATAAAACGAGTAAGAATTTGTATTACGAATTACGAATAGAAACTACATCGATGACATTTCCACCCTCAAGCAAGTCATTTATTATTAATAAAAGCTTCTCCGCTTGTAAATTTGTTAATTGTTATACAATGTACACGCCCAATGAAGAATTAATTACATTGGGCGTCGCGAAATTAATAATTTTCTGAGTTGTGACTATTTTTAAATAAACTAATTAATAATGTTTATGTTATTTAGAAAGCCTTTTAATTGAAACAACAACATATTGCTAATAATCTTTTGAATTGTCATTATTTTTAATTGAATTGTTCATTGTACTATACTAATTGTTGAATTATGTATGTAATCTTAATTATTTTTATATTAAATGAAAAATTAAAATTTTTTATTTGATTACATTTTATTTTAATTTAAACATTACCACATGCGGAATCTTCTAAAATGCAGCTAAAAGAAAAGCAAACGAGGAATACAAGTAAATATTTACCATTTATCTATCTAGTGATATTTTTTTATTTTTTTTTTAGAGCATCCCTGTCCAACTTGCAAGGGAACTAATTATTCACGTTCTTCAAACAGTCGTTGTAAATTTCAAAAACGTTGTGCACGTAAACCTATTTAGGAAAAAGACACAAAATACGAACAATGCAGAATCAAACTGGACTAGAAATATTTCTTAAAAGATAAAGATCCTGAACTTGCAATCCAAGGTGCTGTTGAAGGAATGACTCGAATTGTTTTTGAAGGTTCTCGGTTGGTTAGCACTTTATCATGTGACCATTGGTGACCAATTTCCTTTCAACACAAGCGAAGGTGCTTTCAAGTACATGCGGCAATGTTTCCAAGCTGTAACTACATACTAAAACACCCCTGACATCACCAAAGAACCAATCATAAATAACATTCAAGATACCCTCTATACACATATCGATCTCGAGGAAAATAAAAAATCGTTATGACAACTTCTCTCCTCTGCTGCATGACAATATGTCAGTACAACTAATCTCAACAATCGACAAGATGGATAAATTATAAATTATCTCTTTTACCAAAAAACACATTGACTTCGTCATAAACCACTTCATCACCCACTTGAAAAATCGAGGTCCCTTAGAAGATTATTGATAAATTCTCTACATCACACAATACCACCTGCATCCAATATGTTCACTTGAAAGTGAAAGTGCAACAGACATTATTCCAAAATTAAGCTCTTGATGATGCATCTGTAAAAGAATCTTGGTGGCCATATCTTTCAGGTTTCCACAAAATCCTTTCCACCTTTACCAAGCATAACCAGGAATGTGGTCTTTGCCTCTTCACACTTTGGACTGAACACTCTTTCCAACAAAAGTACATATTAGTTGATACTGATACTTTATTTTACATGTACAAATCAATTTTTACCTTTACTTATTCCATACAGACTGATGTCTTGCCTTGCAGTATCAGTTGGCCTGCAGAAGAAAGTTGATGGTAATAAAGAGGATGCTGATGAAGAAGGATCGAATATTATTCGGAATGGATGCAAGGTATTTGGGCTGGATCCTGGAAGAAGATATCTGTTTGTAGCAGCGAGTTCAGATGAAAAAGTTGTGAGTTGTTCCAATAATGAGTACTGGAACTTAGCAGTGTTTATTCATGCTTGCAAAAAATGAGAGTTGTGGTTAGAAAAAAAAAAAAAAAATCTTCAGGCCATTATTCAAGATGAGCTATAACTCTGTTAATTTAATTTGCAATAGTAACATTACTTCCATAAAATCATGGATTATATTGAGATAAAACAGAATGTAAGTGAGGTATAAGCCATATTCATAGACATTAGTGATAGCAGAGGTTGGAATTTCTAGGTTTTGTATTAGTGTTAAGTGAAAGGTATGTTGAACATCACTGGCATTATTTGTGATGAAACCTTTTATTAACAAACAAAAGACCTTTGATATTTTGTCCAAGAGAATAAAAAATGGTAATGATGATAATATTTGGTAATCAACATCATATGTGCCAAAAGCTTTCTAAACACTGAAAGATGGTGAACATTGATGAGTTCTGTACATCCTTAGTCTGTTTTTGGTATAATGGTGGTTTGATAAGCATCAAGAATTTTGATCTGTCAGTCTGAGAATTAGTCTGTCTGATACATTAGAATCAAGATGCTAATGCTGCCCATAACATCAGGAACATTTTTTTTGTACACAAACACTTATAGAGAGAGACCTGATCTATTTATAAAGGAGACTTACTGACCTCTCTTCTGCCATTTTAATTGTGGCAGGATATGTCTAGCTGATGGCAGCAGCAATGATGATGATTTTCTATGAAGCCATAGTTAGCTATAGGCTGATTTAGTGTAACAAGTGCATGTCATTTACAGTGTAGATCATCCACACATATGCGCTGATTTTGTTTGAACCCAAAATTCAGTATGGTATGATCATAATGTTATAATACCTTATACTAACAAAAAATACATTGGTTTTGAGGTAGTAAACTCATTAAGTTAGATGCAGCAATCAATTGTTTAAAATAAATAAACAACTAACCTAATGAGTTTTCATGTGCATGGAGTTTGAAAAAAAGCCCCAAAAACCAAATCAACTGACATGACTCGAAAGTTAGAAATTTGAAATATCATCAGGTCCATCACATGTTGGATTTGAAAAAGCCACCCACCACCATTCAATTCGGGTGTAAAAAAAAATATTCTCAACAATAAATAATTTCTATATTACCAATTTTTAAACTTTACGACCAAATTTGTTAATGATTTTCTTTTAATGTAATATGTATGTTCGTTAAACTTTTTTGTAAAAATTTTTATTTATTAATTAAAAAAGGAAATAAATAATATAAATAAATCATGTATTTAATCAATAAAATATTCTATGTATGAAAAAAATTGTTACACGAAATTTACTTAGTCCCAATTTTTTAAAAATTATATATTAATATAACAAATTGGAATTTTTAAAATGTTGAGGCTCAGCCAACTTTTAATTTAAGAAAGACAATAAGTTTTGAAACTTGAACCATGAACAATAAAAGTTACCGATCAACTTTTTTAAAATGATATAAAAATTTTGTTTTAGTATTTTTGAACCTGACCAAATCGTTATTGCTGATTATAGATGACCCGCACCGTATATATAAACATCAATAATCCGAAATTTTATATAAATCTAGGCTTACCCAATATAAGCAATTTATTTGTATTGCGAAAAAATTTATGTCGATCGTTGTTCATTTAGGAAAACAGATTAATTAAATCCAAACAAAAAAAAATTGATTATTTTGTTGGTGCAAAACTTCATAGTAACCCAAACTAGAGAAAATTATTATCGATCACTTACCTTTTATGAAAAGGATTTTAGTTTTTAGTCCGAAATTTTGAATTTGTTGTAAAGGTTCATAGCACTTCAAAAAAAATTTTTGAACTAAAAATTTTGTTTTAAAGTCGGGTGATCATTTGACGTTTACAAATAATAATAATAATTAAATTCGCGTTATGACCTATATTAATATAGCGATTTCGGTATAATAATCACCATAACGAACGGGTGGTTTTTAAACGTAAGAACCTTTCATAATTTTGACTAATTTATCTCACGTGGCACAATTGAAACCCCCGGCAAAATAATTTGCATAAATTAAAAATAAATGGAAAAAATAATAATAAAAATTTTTTTTTGAAACAAAAAAAAAAAAAATATATACACCGAATGAATAATTCACAAGTTGTAAAAAAAGGGTATATTGCTGTTAAAGAGGAAGGCTTAAGGGCTTTTCTATGGTCAAAGAGATGGTTATTGTTAAGAGAACAAACTTTAACATTTCATCGGAACGAGGTATTTACGATTCATCTGGAATTTTTCACATTAAAGCCTGTTTACTGTTTTAATTATTTAATTGGAAAAATCGAATTTATTATTTTTTTTTTTTTCCAGAATACATATCAAGCAGTTGCGTTAATTTTTCTTAAAGAAATTAAAAATCTTCAAAGAACAGAATTAAAACCATATTGTTTTGAAGTTCAAACAAAAGATAAAAATTATTATCTTTCTTGTAAAAATGACGAAGAATTATATTCTTGGATGGACGAAATTTATAGTGTGAGTAGTAATGATATTTATTTAAATATTTTTTTTAAAGAAATCATTAATTGTATTCTTATAAATATATATGTCTCGTATATTTAATATTCAATATAAAATAGCGATCTCCATTAAGTGGTGTTTCAACTCCGACAAATTTTGTTCATAATGTACACGTAGGATTTGATCCAGTGAGTGGAATGTTTACGGTACGTAAAATTATTAATACGTGATATGTACTTTTTCCAAAGTTATTATAAGCAATGGCAATGAAAATATAATTAACTAATAATAATAATATTATATCTTTTTAGGGAATGCCTGATCAATGGTCAAAGCTATTAACAGCTTCAGCTATAACAAAAGAAGATTATGAGAAAAATCCACAGGCTGTTTTAGATGTGTTGGAATTTTATACAGAAAATCAAAAGAGAGAAAATGAAGGATATGATGATCTTGATGCAATACCAAGATATCCAAATAATGGTGATAATAAATGGGCCGATCTATTACCAAAAAATAATAACAATAATAATAACAACAACAATAATCATAATAATAATAATAATATTGACAATAATAACTTTAATAATAATAATAATAACAATAATTTTTATAATAATAACATGGCGCAAAACAATTCAATGTATAATAATCAAAATGGAATGAGTAATAATTATAATGATAGAGGAGAAATGAATAATAATAATTATGGTAACGGTAATAATAATAATTATGGTAATGGTAATAATAATAATCAAGGTTTAGACGGTAGACAAGATGATAATGTAAGTATATATATATATACACTTAAATATTAGAAGATCGATTTTTGTATATTAAATGTTAACACATTATTAATTTTTATTTTGGTAAAATTTAGTATCTATACAATTCACAACCATCAACTCCAGTATGAGTTTATTTTATGTTTATTATTGGTTTTGATCTGTTTTTTTTTTAATTCTTTTTTAAAATAGAAATTTTTAATTTGAATTTAAATTAAAATTAAAATTTTTTATCACTATAGTATCAACAACAGCCGCTGCCACCACCATCACCACAACAGCAACAACAACAATTACCACCACCACAACAACTGTATCAACAAAAAAATACATCGGCAACATCTCAACTTACAGCTGATAATTATTATTCTTCCTCTTCAAATAATAACCTTTCACAATCAAATTTTCAACAATCTTCTAATTCTGTTCAAAATCAAAATCAACAACAACAATATTTGCAAAAGCAACAACAGCAGAAGCAGCAACAACAACAACAACTTCAGAAACAACAACCTCAGCAACAGCAGCAGCAGAAGCAGCCACAACACCAACATCATGAGCCTAGTGCAACAGTTTCAAAACCACAAAATCAAAAACCGACACAAGTAGCTCAAAAGAAACCACCACCAGAAAAAAGGATTAGTACAATGACAGAAGCACAAATTATGGAAAAACTAAGATCTGTGGTAACACAGGGTGATCCAACATCAATATATAGTAAAATCAAGAAAGTTGGTCAAGGGTATGAATTAATATATATATATATATATATATATATTTAATAATTCTATTTCAAATATTAATTATTTATTTAATAATAATAGTGCATCTGGGTCGGTTTACGTTGCCAAATCCTATGCAACCACTTCTAATTCCAAAGTAGCTATAAAACAAATGGATCTTTCACATCAACCACGAAAAGAATTGATTGTTAATGAAATTCTTGTAATGAAGGAATCTCGACATCCAAATATTGTAAATTATCTTGATTCATATTTAGTAAAAAGTAATGAACTTTGGGTTATAATGGAATACATGGAAGGTGGTCCTTTAACAGACGTGATTGACAATAACTCATTAGAAGAAGATCAAATTGCTTCTATATGCTTTGAGGTATAATATATATGTGTATATATATATAAAAGCCTTTATATTTATATGAATGCAAAGGTGATTTTGGTTAAACTAACTACAAAAAAAATTTTTTTTTTAAAAATAGACTTGTAAAGGACTTCAGCATCTTCATGAACGGAGTATCATTCATCGTGATATTAAAAGTGATAATGTTTTATTAGACGCTTATGGTCATGTAAAAATAAGTAAGGAGTGGTTTTTTCTTTAAAAAATTATAATTTATACATATATTGCCAAAAAAATTTATTTTTAACACTAACAATACCTCGTCTTCATAATCTATTTTACTTTATAGCCGATTTTGGATTTTGTGCCAAATTAACCGAACAAAAAAATAAAAGAGCAACAATGGTTGGTACACCATATTGGATGGCACCTGAAGTCGTTAAACAAAAAGAGTATGGCGCCAAGGTTGATATTTGGTCTCTTGGAATTATGGCAATTGAAATGATAGAAAATGAACCACCATACCTAGATGAAGAACCATTGAAAGCCCTATATTTAATTGCAACAAATGGAACTCCAACTTTAAAGAAACCTGATAAATTATCTATGGAACTTAAAAGGTTTCTGGCCGTATGTTTGTGTGTAGATGTTGGAAAACGTTCAACAGCTTTGGAGCTTTTAGATGTAATTATTACTGTTATTAAATTTTTAAATAATTGTTTGATTTTAATTGAATTAAAAATATTTTAAAACTAATTTACTAATATTTTAATAATAAAATAGCACGAATTTCTCAAGAAATCTTGTCCATTGTCAGATCTTGCACCTTTACTTAAATTCAAGACATCTAAATAAATTTTTTTTTTTTTGAAGAACAATTAATAATATTAGAAGTACCCGTAAAAAATTTTTAATAAAGAATATAGAGTGAAAAATTTTTTTTTATCACTGATAACGTTATAGATATACTTTAATTCATTTGTTATTTATTTATTAATATTTATTAATGTTATTAATTTATTTATTTAATATTGGATTTTCTTAATTTATAGTAATAGATGAAAATAATTAGTAGCATGGTAGTTGGTAGTAGTGGAAAGTTCGAATTTTTATATAATGTTGTTGTATATAATACTTTTATTTATTTATCTTAAGAAAATTTAATTCTCCTTTTAATAAAAAATTTTTAATTAAATTAGAGATTCGTATAGTACTGGTACTTGCATTGAGCCAATTCCTGTTTTACACTAACAACATTAAAGACTTGAAGAGTAAGATTAAGCATTGCATAGATCGACACGGTACTGACCAGGACCTCTGGCAGCATCCAAATTGAACAATTGACTACAAGTATGTGGCAAGGGGGTGTAGACCTTTTGCAAATGGTCATCCATAATGCAGCTGCGGTTGGAGACCATGTAGAGTAACATAAAATCGAATTTGCGAAATTCATGCATGGGTTCCCATTTGTCTGTCATTCCAGAGCCAGAAGTGGAAACTTATATGTATTAGTATATGCAATATGAGTAAAGTAAATGGAGTGAACAAAATATTTTAACGTTCGTATTGGGTATATTATTCAGCCTTAAAAGTATTACACGTATCAAATATTACATTGATTATATAAATATTGATGCAAATGTTAAATGTTAATTTAAAAAACTCAAAATTCAAAATTCATCACTTGACTAGCTAACATCCAACCCTCCAATCAATTTCCTTGGAGAGCTAATAACAATTCTTTACCAATAGTTAAAAAGAGCGAGCGGTCATAAATGGATGACTGTTCGCTATAACGAGGCACAAGACTCCTTTCAATGTTCTATCGGCAAATTTTCAATTTCGTTTTCATCATCTGGGATCAACCCCAAAATATATCTACAGGTGTCAGGTGTCACAAAATTAGGTTAAAGACAGCATTTTTTTCACATGGTAAATTCTCGCAAATTTTATATTACTACTATCTATTAATATTTTGGGGTCCTAATGTAGGAGTACTCGCATTCAACCAACAATCTTAAAATCTCTTAATCAGGAAGCAACATGTTCTTTTTAAGAAGAAATGAATCAGAAGGCTGTAGGCACTCATCCTAATCAAAAACGGACTTCTTTCACAGGAGATTTGATTGATTGGGCAGTGATGTTGTTATTTGACATATTTTCAAATTTTATAAAATTATCATCCTAGAAATCTTGTACAACATTAAAAAGCTATATAATGATCAGACAATTTGACAATTTTATAAAAAGAAAAAAAATGTTTAAAGAAAGTTATTTGAAATGTAAAGACTATTTTATGATAATTTTAAATAAAATCAATTATAATAATAATAAAAGCAACAACATTAATATAATATTGGCAAATTCATTTATATCACCGATATCAGTAGCAAAATCAACACAATCATTAATAAATCATAATTTTAATACATTCTTCCTAATGGAATCATCAGTCAAATTAATTTTTGTAAAAAGATTAAATAATCGTAATCGTAACCATCGTTACTATAAAAATTATTCGACTACTAATCTAAGTTTTAAAAATCCAGCACATTTCAAAAGTAACATTTATATTGATGAAGGTTTTGTTGATCCATTGTCACCACCATCGTTATCACCACCATCATCATCACCATCATCTAGTGGTAGCAGTATACTAAAAGATCAAAACATTTTATCAATGGACGATATAAAATATATTAATAAATTAAAAGACATTAACACATTTGGAACAAACATGTTATCAAAAGATTTGGATAGAATAATCTCAAGCAAACACTTGGAAGAAGAGTATGATCAAAACGAATTATCGTATTACACGACTAGAAAACTCACTTTGGATTCTAATGGAAAACCACTAATTGATGTGGAAAACAAAAGCATCGAAGAAATCTGGACAAATTATAAGAACCTTAGTATTAAACGATTATTGGCACTAACAATCTATGATTTCAATCAATTACTCGCCTCCTTTCTAAAGTATTTGCCTCAAAATCCTGACCTTTACACAAAAATAAATTCTATAATTTACGAAATGGAGGAACTACCAAATGTTGAATTGGATGTGTCAACTTACAATATCTTGATGACATCTTGTGTGAGGATAGGTGACTTGACTACTCTGTATGAATATTTTCAAGCTTTTTTCAATGATGATGTCAAGCCAAATACCATAAGCTACAATATTCTAATATCTGGGTATATTAACACGGAACAAAAAAGTAATCGTAGTTTATTTTTACGCAGCGCATTTTATTTTTTTGATAATATGGTGAGTCAAGGTGTCGAGAGAAACAACAAAACTTACACGCTACTAATCAAAGCATGCGGTGAAATGTATGACTATCCAAAGGCTTTAGGTTTGTTTAACAAGTTGATAGAAGATGGAATAGAACCTGATACTATAGTGTGCAATGCATTATTATCGGTTATTTCAAAAACTCATAGAGACCCTTCAAAGGCAATTGAGTTATTTAATGAAATGAAATCCAGAAAACTACAACCAACAATCATAACATATAATATTATTATAGGATTTATGAAAAAAATAGGAGAGGAACAATTGGCACTGGAATATTTTGAGCTGATGAAAAAAGATGGTATTCTACCTGATGCCAAGATACTAGAATCTATTGGTATTGTAGGTATAAAGGCGATTAGAATGTTGCGAGATGAATTCAATACAATGCCAAAGTTGATTGATTATAATTTAATGTTGTATTCCGAATTGCAAGAATCAGATTATGAAGATGCATTAGAGGTTTATAGACACATGCAAAAGCGCAACGTAAAGCCTAATTTGACAACTTATGCAATAATAATAGATGATCATGTAAAAGGTGAGAAACCTGATAATGCGTTAGACATATTCAATGTTATGTTAAAAGAGAACTTGAAAATAGATTTTGGAATTTATAAAGCATTAATAAATGCATATTTGAACAATCGTGATTTGGATAAGGTTTTTTACTTGATAGATTTGTTGAAAAAAAAATCAAATATAAGATTGACGCTTGGATCGCTTGAATCAATATTGAAAACAGCAGCCAGGCTACCAGATCCATCGATTATTGAAAAGGTTTTTAAATATTTAAAAGAATCAAAAATAATAGCAGAAAATCAGAACCATAGAAATTTATATAATATTTTATTAAATAAATTAGCTAGTTCGTCATCAATAGAAATCTTGGAAAATTATTTGGATGGAATGGAAAATGACAAGATACCTATAGTATATCCAACATTTTCCAGTATAATTAAAGGATGTGGTTTAGCAAAAAAATTTAACGAAATGGAATGTTGGTATCAAAGAATGATTTTAAAATACAAGTTAAAGCCAAACTCTCAAATATTATCAGTAATAATAAATACTTTTATAGATGACAATAATTTAAATTTAAGTATAGTATATTTTAGAGAATTTTTCAAGTATGATGTTAAAATTAATGAAGATGATGTGATCAGGTTGTTAAATCTATTTAGAAAATTTGGTTCAAACACACGACGCAATATAGTGTTAAATATATTAGAACAGAATGGATATGAAGATTATATAACCAATTATAACAATAGAGTACAATTGATCAAAAATAAGCTAGAGACATTTAGATGGTTAGAGGATCATAAAAAAGGTAGGGTGATGGTTGAAAGAATCATACATCAAAAAAATGCTGTTTTTAGGCATAATAATGCTTTAAGAAAATTAGAGGGCAATGCAGCTAATAGACTAAGACTTTGGCAACCTTTTAGTAAATTATTAAAAGATAAAATCAATAATTAATAATAATCAATCCCTTAACGTTTGTACAATTTATATACAATTTATAATGTGTAAATAATATATTTTTTTAATAAAAGGCTTCTCATGTATAATATTTGACCCGTTTTTATTTTACAAAAACACAATCTGGCTTGAGCATGTGATTAGCCATATAATTATTTATATATATATGCATGTATTGATAAATTATTTATTAAATTATTATTTAAAAAATTAAAGCTATAGACTATTAGTTATTATATACATATATATATGCCTTGATTAAAAATTTTTTTTTTGTTGCAAACAAAATTAAAAAATAAACGATATTATGAAATTATGAATTAAAAAATAATATTAATAATATATACTTTTTTTTTTAAAAAAAAAAAAATACCAATTACCCCTTTAAAAATGATATAAATAATAATATTTAGTAAATTATTATAATAATAAATAAAATATATATTTAATTAGATGTCATGATTAAAAATGGTATTATTGGTGATGCTTTTTTTGTTGTTAATGTTTTTAAAATCATCTTATTAATAGTTTGATTGGAAATATGTCAGTAATGATGATAGTGGTGATTATTATTATGTAAATTATAATTATCATCATCACTTGAAACCTATTATGATAATTGTCATGATTATGATAATCATGAACTCCATTTAATTGTCTTCTACTTCTTTTATTACTATGTTATTATCTTCATTGTCATCATCATAATAATAATTATCAAAATTGTTGTCATGATGTCCATTTGTTATTAATTGGCTTCCCTCAGCAGTCCCGTAATAATAATCATTACTTTTCAAACTATAGGTTGATTCATCCATCTCATCATGATAATTTAAATGACCATTCACATGAGACGAACTAATCTCATTACCAATCAAGCCATTAAACCCATTAACTAGATGACTATTCTCAAGACCATTACCATTATCAATAATGCCATCGTTACCATCGCCACTATCATTGTCTATTGTCGATCTCACACCAGATATACTTCTTAAAACATAATAATCCAAAATAGGAAACACCGTAGTAATTAAAACTCCAAGACGAAAAGCTATAGCCAATAATTGACCGGTATTATTTAATTTATGAAATTGTTCATAAGGTCCAGCCGAATCCAGTCTTATCAATCCCAAAACTCTAACTAAAGCGGGCCAACTGCTGCTAATCACCAATAAAACCGTAACATTAGCTATAATATGTTGCAAGCCCATTCTGCTATGACTATTACTACTAATGCCAAATCTTGGACGTATTCTTTTAAATGGTTGAATGGAATAAACTCCAATTATGGTCGCACTTGTGAAATAAAATATCAATGCTATATCACTAACTGTATCAAATTTACCAAATATTGACATTGTTTGTTTACCAAATACTGATTCCAATTTATGTAACTCTTTTTGTTCATCATCCACCAATAAACTTTTAATAAATGACCATAATATGTGACCAAGCAATAAAAACCATATTGAATGACTGATTACAAATAATATAAAAAATGCTATATTACGATATAAAGGTGATTTTGATAGATCACGTTGTAACCTTGATCTTTGATTTTCAAGAATTTTAAGACTGTTTAGAATTCCTTCTTTTAAAGGATTATTATTGTTGTTATTTTTTTTGATTTTATTACTTTTATTTTTACCGCCGCCGCTATTATTATTTCTATTGTTGTTTTTGTTGTTATTGTTATTGTTATTATTATTATTATTATTATTATTATTATTATTATTATTATTATTATTATTATTATTATTAACATGCTTTGACTTTGATGGTGATGAAATAGATGTAAAAGTAGAAGTGTTGCCAATACCATTATTCACTAAAACATTCTTAATATTATGATCATCAGCACCAGAATCAACATCAACACTGCCATTAATAATTCCATTAATTGTAGAATATAACTGTTCAGAAGAGGAACAACATTGTAATGAATCATTGTTGTAGTTTGATTCAGATGTTGATGACGATGTTGCCGTCATTAGAGCTTGAGAACGAGATTTTAGATTAGCAGCATAAACAGGTGATTTCCATCCACGTTCCACATTTTCCAAATGTTGTAACAAAACACTAGTTTCCATTTCATTTTCTATCAAGGAATCTTTTAATTGATTACGATAATTAGGTCTTAATGGAAGTTCACTGATGCAGGAAAATATTTGTATGTAACCGATCGGTGTCGCCTTCAAACAGATCCATGCACCGCCCATACAAGTCAACAAATTCAATATAACCCAAAAATCGATATTTTCTATTCCTAAAATCAATCTTGACATGTATATAAAAATGTACATCAACACACTAACCAGTAACATAATCGTGGCCGTTTCTTGAGCTTTCACCCAAAAAGTTTTAAGTTGATCTGTTTCATTGTAGAAAAAGGCAAAAGGTAATAACACAAACAAAGCAAAATTACATCCCATAAACGTGTAATTCCACAAAGTAACCAATAAATTACTATCCAGCCAACTTAAATAATAATTTTCCGAGTGAATTTCATCATGTAATAATGCAGTTGCTATCATTGTGAACGGTAGTAATAAAAAACCAGCAAAGGCCATTGCTAAACCAGCAGCACACATTATTATTATGACCAATTCATCAATACCACCAAATATCTCATCCTCATCCTCTATATCTGAGCTACCCTTGTATCTTTTTCTAAACTTTTGTAAAATTGAATATGATATTGTATACAATGATAGAAATAAAAGGAAAGCGATAATGTTCTGTCGTATCCAATTATAGAAATCATTAGCTGCTTGTACCTTTGCGTCAAATTGTAAAATATTAAGATTGTTGTTATTATTATTACTTAATGAAAAAGCTGAAGTCATAACAAGAATGAAAGAAACAAATTTTTCTTTATTTGTTTCAATATTAATATTAATAATAATTTTTTCTTTTCAATCTTTCAAAGATCCAAAAAAAATATCGAGAAAAATGTAAAAGAATGACGTAAATTATCGTCACATGAAAAAAGAGATATATATGTTTTAAAATAATTTCTCTTTTTTTATGTATAGAGAAGGAAAAAAAAATATCTTATTTATATAATACTAATACTAATAAATATATTTTATCATTGAATGCTCTGCACAAAAAAAAAATAAAATGTGTAGTGCCACGTACGTAAATAAACTACTAAAACGAGATTAAAGTGCGACAACTTACAAGGTGATTTTCACACGATTTTTTATTTTTTATTTTCCTTGCTGATAAATCAAAGAATAAATATATTACCAAGCATTTAATTAATATGTAATTATGATGTAATTGTAATGATAATAAATAAATGGGACAGATGGTCTTTGTTGGATGTAAATTTTATTAGACACTTTAATTTGTTGGAAAGAAAGAATTCACTATTATTTTTTTATAATTATAATCATAATCATATAATCCCACCCAATACATCACGTACCTGAATGGAATACAAAAAAAAAACAAACTACATAAATACTCCCCCACCTTCTTTAGTTTTCTTTATCCATCTAGCAAAACTTTCATCCTCGAGTTTATCTTGATGTGATTTCATTGCTTTATAATCAGGATCTAAAGATTAAAGTAAATAATAATATTAAAAACAACCATATTAAAGGTATTGAAATTATTTTATCATTCCTTTCTCCACCTTCAAAACCAATTCCTCTAGCATCATTTCCCTCATCATCATCATCATCGTCATCATCATCGTCATCATCTTCATCATCAATGTTATTATTAAAACCTTCGTTCATCGGGTCTACCAAAAAAAGATTTGTGTCAAATAATGAATGCAATAAATTTTGCTAATAAATATATATACAAGAAGAATCCAATAATGATCTACCTATTGTTTTAGAAGTATCAGACATATTCATATCTCTCATTAATTTAGTGAGTTGCGCTTGTTTTTTAGCTTCTTGTCGTTGTGACTTGGAAATAGATAACCAAAAGAAAATTAAAGACATTCAATAATTATTCAATTATTCAAAAGAAATTGTAAGATTATTATTATTATTATACCTTTTCTTTTATTAATCTCTCCAATTCTGGTCTATATACACTGTTTTCGGACCGGATTTTTTATTTTATTAGCCAATTTCAATTCTTCCCCATAACTACACATATAGTCATAAGTGACAACATACTCTTCATATTCTTTGACAGCTTCTCCTACAGCTTCAAAAAATTCATCCATACCAGATCCCGACATTGCTGATACACCAACTACCTACACACGGATAATTAATTGGATTATGATTAATTAACAATTTTGTATATTTAAAAACAAAAAAAAAATTTTTTTTTCATTCATTTTCATTGTTGTTACCCTTAAATGTTTATAAAATTCTTCTAATACCAAACACATGGAATTCATAAGGCTAGTCATATAACTGGTATCTTTTTGAAGAGCTTCTTGAAAAGATTCAAAATCAGCCATCCAATCAATAGCAAATTGATGAGAGATGACATCTGTCTTATTGAAAACCAGTATAAATGGCAATTTAGTTTTATATAAAATGCTAGGAAAATAATCAAAATTTATCAATTATTCAATAAATTAATATTAAATAATAAATAACATTAAATGCATTTACAATATTTAATTTACCTGCAGGCATATAACATATTACTCATAAATGTTGCAGGACTTGTTGTTCTAGGCGTATCTATAATATACGCGATTACACATGGGTAGGATGCAGCTAAAGCATCAGTGATAATGGCTCCGGAAGCTGACCATGTAAATATTTCAATTTGACCAGGTGTATCTAAAGCAATATAACTATATTTTTTTAAATTTTTTGGAGGAGGAGGTAAATCTTTTAAAGAATAAAATTATATATATATATATATATATATATACTCTAGAGATGAAGAACGTTTTGATATAAAATCCAAAACTTGATCAAATTTTGTTGTAAATAAATTTAAACTTGTTAAAATTCCACCATTAGGTCCTAAATTGTATCTGTTTTTTTAATAGTTGTATTGGTAAATATTGATAAATGCTACATAGTAATAATTATAGGAAGTATCAATTTTCAAAATAATTACTGTTTCATAACTTCTTTATAATTTACAGTATCTCTAATGTCTATATTTGCGGCAAATGGAAGTTGAGTGACCGCTGGATCAAGATTAATTATATAAGGTGATTTCTTGATACTGTGAAGATACGCATTTAATCTCTTAAAGTACAAAAGAAATCTGTCAATGAGTTTCTTTTGAATTGGAATGAAATCTAGAGAAGGTTAAGTAACAATATCTAATTACCTGCATTAAAGTTGTTTTGCCAGAGCCTGCCATACCTATGCACAAGAGTATGGTAGGTTGTTTTTCATTATTTGAATTTGTAGAAGTTGACATTTTATATTTTACAGTTTTTTAACCGTGTTACAAAAATATTAATATGTAGATAATCAAATTTTAGTGATCAATTTGTTAAATCTTTTTCTTTTCAATATAAAAATTTTTAAATTGTGTCAAATCGTAGATTTCCAATTCTTTACTATTTACTTTAACTAGCAAAATGTATAGAAATATATATATATATAATATGAATTGATTTAAAAATGTGTAATTTTTTATTCAAATTTTTATTTTTTAAAATCATATATATATATATATAAACAGGGACTCAAAGAAACAAGCAGTTATGGATCAAGTCAGAAATGAGTTAGCATTAGCTAATGCACAAGAACTTATTAACGTACGCGAAATATAATGTGAGCAAGGAAAAATCTTGCTAAGTTGATTAAATTATATATAATTTTCATTATTGTTGCAGGCATAGGATTGAAAATTATATATAATAATATTAATATATTTATTTAATAAATCAATCAGAGTAGCATTAATAAAAATATTATATTTTTTTCATCTCTAAATAATCTAAACAATCTAGAAAATGAATGAGAAATGTTTTGCAAAATGTATAATGAAACCAGGGAATAAATTAGATACTGGTGAACAAGTAATTAATTAATTGATTAATATTATTATTACCATTATTATTTTTTAATTGACTACTTACTGATTTAATTGATTTGATTTGATTTGAATAGACTTGTGTTGCTAAATGTATGGATCGTTATATGGAAGCATGGAACATAGTATCTAGAGCTTATATTAGTAGAGTACAACGAGAGAGTAATAATAACTATTAACTTTTATTATATAATATAATAGTAGTAGTAATAATATAGTTTTTGATTGAACAATGAAAAATGGTATTGAGAAGGAAGAAATAAAAGAAAGAAAAATAATCTGAAAAATTTTTAAAAAAAGCAAAAATGAAAAAATTTATTATAATAATTATAATAATAGTGAATTATTGATTAATTTATACACTTGTAATAAATATATTTTTATTCGTCTTTATAATATGGAAACAAAATGAGCATTATCTCACAAATGAGTTGCAGGGTTAACATCACAGTATAATGTGATCATGATATTAACGGCTTTTATTTTTGGTAACATTCATTTAGGGGCAACTTGATTCTTCTTAAAAGTGATGACAATGAAGCTTTGAAGAATAGCTAACTAAAATTTCTTCTTGAGCAGGCAAAGAAAATAAGCAAAAAGAATATAGGAAATACTCCATATACTTTTATATTGCGGGACATCTATAACAGCCAATGATTATCACATGACTTTAAAAGCTTAAACCGATAAAATTAAAGCTAAAGACCTAAGCTTCATTTCTATCGGTTTACTTTTTTCACTTTATTAAAAAAGTTTTGAGTTCTAAGGCTTCAAAGTTCGGCCATTTTATATATGTCTATATTAATATGTAAATTGTAAAATTTCCTCTTGTGATTTCCTAAAAGACCGGGTGATTTCATCGCTCTAATAAACTATAGTTTTTGCAAGTTGGTCACAATACATGGATGTAATAGACCCGGCTGGGCTACTTGCCCGAGGAACATTTAATTGCTTATATTATAAACTTGGACATATTACAACAAAACCAAACAAGAAATTTCAGAGATCAAAATTTTGTATTATGATATTAAATTTTTTCTTGTTTCATAATTTTTTAATTGTTCGATATCCTCTATATAAGATAATAAATCCAAAAGTATAAATTCAATAATAATAAGGATCTAGTTTTCATTTTGTAGACGAGATTTTTCTACTTGACAAACCGTTCTTCAAAATATCAATTGGTACTTTATTTAATTAACTCTATTTTTTTCTTCTTCTAGTGTATTATTAATTGAAACTTGGAATATTTTAGTATCATTAAAATGTTCTTTAAAAACAACTAAACGTCATTGTATATATATATTTAATGAAAAAAAAAGGAATTTTCTTTAAATCATTGTCACTCAAAAAAATGTTCTAAAATTATTATTAAAATCGAATCTACCAATATTTTTTGATAGTTTTCTAATTATTTGCCAAAGTTTTGGATGTTTTGGATTTGAGAGATGAGAATAATAATGAAAGTAATAATAATGCTCACTTCAGTTTTCTCAGTTATGACTATACACATTGTGCATCCATTCTTAATAGTATCATATACAACAATATAGTTGTAGCTAATATTATTATATATATGCATTTAAAATGAATACTCGACAGCATGTATGAAACTAGAGATTCTAATTTATGAAATTTATTGTCTTGCCAATCAACATAAACATACCCTTTAACATCTTGGTCTTTTGAGTCCACATTCCTTGATCAATTTGACCTTTACCAACTTCACCTACACCGAATTCACGCTCTCCTAATAATTAGGCCGTATTTTTTGGTAATCGGAAACTGTTCTACTTTTATTCTTACGTTTAGATGACGCCAAACTGCAAGACTTTCTCCTGCAGTATTCAACCCGTGAAACAATTACCAATGAACGTAACATATACCATACTTTTAAATATTTTGTTTCAAGTTTCAGATTCATCCTTTAACGATTGGATAAAATCCAACGATTTATAATATGTGATCAAATGTTTTCCTTTATCTCCTTACCAATCTCGTGTTTTGTTGTTATCCTTTCTAATTTCATCAATTCCTTGTAAGTAAGAAGTAATATCGCTTATATCCATTAAATACCTGGATATTAGCCTAATTAAACTATTTTAACCGTTTTAGAAAATTTGACCACAATTATAGCAAAAATTGCCTCGGCTCTAGTCGTATCAGCCTAGCTTGTCCATTTAATTCATTTTGACTACTATGTTACTCTCTAAAATCCATTTCAGCCATAAAATAAATGTGCGTTCCCGTTATCATCCAGACCACTTAACTTCGGTCTTCAGTTGTTTGCTGTTTTATTCATTTAAAAAAAAATTTTTTAAACTTTAAATGATGAATTAGTTCCAACACAAAGTAATCGATCTTGATCTTCTAACTCATCAGTCATATTTATAAACTATATTGTTATAGTTGTTAATATTAAAACTATTTTTTACTAATAAATTTTATTAAGTTGTGACAAACTTATTTCAATAAGTGTGGCCCGATTTATCAAGAGATCCAACTTATCGAAATATGCAATTTTAAAAACAAAAAAAGAAAAATCGTTTAAACCGTTTATTTATTTATAAAAATTAATAATAGTTGAAAAAATAATAAAACAGATAGAAGATAAAACAAAAAAAACACTATTATTTCGAATTTTCTTTTCATCCAGGTAATTTTGAATTTGATGCCGCCTCACCAAGGTATTGCGGTAAAGTAGCCCTTGATTTGGCTAGCTCCAGATGTATTAATTTTTCTGCTCGATGGATGTGGTTGCATTTATGATCCTCAGCATGGAATGTTTTTAAGAGTTTGTCTTGTATCCGTGTTATTTTTTTCATTGTTTTGGTTCACCGCGAATGGTTCAAAGGTAAGGCCCAATCTTTTCATCAACAATATAATCATCGTGATTTTGATTTTAGTGTATGGTCCATAACTGATTTCTGTAAACAACAGACCATAGTGTACTAATATATGGAAAAATCGACGAATAATTGCAGATTTAATTGTAATAATGTTTCTTGGCATGTACATCCATCCCTAGAAAAAATTAAAAATATACAATGTTATCATCAATAATGCAAAATGAAAATCTCGTAATCACATTTTGTTTGTAATCAGTGTATAATTTAATAAGTATATATACCATTTTTTCCCAATAACACAAATTGCATAATTGGTTTTATAGCCTCGCGAGGATATTTAAATTGGGTCCTTATGTTGGAATGAATTAGTGTTCCATATTTCCTCACTTTTATAGAATGGTAAAATTTAAAAAATATAACTACATATAAATCTTTATAGTTAAAAAATCATAAAATATACTCACGCCTCAAGCAACTTCATCCAATTTTCGGAATGCTATATATTCTGACAAATGGGAAGAGTGATGTCAGAATTTCATATTTTTTGGTGTGATGTGGGAAAGTTTTGCCTTTAACACGCTATCTTTTGTATGATTATTTTAATTAAGGTGGCAGGCTAGCTTTAAATTAACAATAGGTTAAAAATTTATAAATATTTAATAATGCATTAAAGTTTAGATAAATAAATGTGGTCACAAGGCCTCACTTTGGCAATAAAAATAAGATATACTCACAAGTTATACATCAACACCAAAAGAACCGTGCGCACACTTTTTTTTTTAATGAAGATATAGAGAGGGAGGAGAGAGAAATTATGGTCACCACTTTCATCTTGATTTTTTATTATTATTATGATCAGACGACTGTTCATTTCGTGCATAAATCTAATCATAAAATAAGCATATTGATATCATTTATGTGTAAGTATACCATATAGATATATTTATTAAATACCTTGTTATTGCTCCTCAAATTATATTTTTTTCTTCTATTATAATGTTAATATTAACAATGACGTGTTAACCAAATTACCATTCTTTTTAATAATTACAACTAATAACTAGAACAGCTTTCAAAACGATCATACTTACTCGCGCGTTCCTCTTCTGTCATTCTGTTTATCCTTTCTGAAAAACAATTTATTTAGGAAATTCTGTTGATCAACATCTGCAATTACCAATCACATTTCATTTATATTAATAATATTATTAATATTGATTATATATTTTTTTTCTTTTATATTTTGAATTTACTTATTTTGTTGTAAATAAAGGCAAAAAATCAACATAACTATTAAAGATAGAAACTGCTCTCGGCTTAAACAATTTAGATTGACAAATTTGGTCACGACTTTATTCCCTCCCCGTGCTTTCTTTCGGGATGGAGGAATTCTAAAATCAATTCCTTGCGTACAAATGTTAATCTGACCTGATTGTCTGATTATATGATGGTGCAATTAAATTTTCAGGAGGCGAGAGAACTCGGCTCTGAAGTTTATTGATGTTGCATTGTTGTCAAGAGACTGTTAATGTTAATTTTCTCGCCCGTGGAAGAAATTCCATATGGAAGAAATGTATAGGGACGAAGGAAGCAATTGAATATTCGTAAAAGGAGAATTTTATTAAATCTGACACCTATGATCAATATCAGATTTATTTTTGGGGAGATGGTTTTTAAGGAACTGCTGACTCGACAACACACAAAACAAAAGGAAGCCAAGTAGAGACTTGGATGACAAGGCGATGGAGAAAGGAACTATATAAAGTTTATTTTCCAATTCCGCCAGATTATTATGCGGCCTCAAATTGGTTCCTTAAAATTTTCATAACATCAAGTGTATATGTAACCATTATGCACGATATATATAGGAATAAAGTATGCCATAATATACAAGAAAAGGAAATACATAAAATAAAAACCACCAGAGCGATTGATTACATGGGAAGAAAATACTCAGACCCGAGTCATTTATAAGGATTTCCTATTCTTTGGTCGCTCTGACAGAAATATACACTATAATTATCAATAGTAATAACAATATCACTATTAATATTGATATCTTCTTTTTCGTCTCCATCTATTTATTCTTTTCACTCCTATTGGTTTTTCACTCCAGGTAACTTTACAGACTTCAGTTACCATTTTATTATTTAATGAAAATCCGAGTCCTGGTCAATCATAATTTCTTCAATAATTACTTGCTCGGTTTATGTTTTATTTCAACTTTTTCAGGCTCTATTGCATTACTAATTTTTTATAAAGTTGGTTCTTGTAAGTGTTGTATTGAAGAAAAAATAAAAATCATGTTTTTTTGTTGATATTTTTATAATAAACTCGAACATTACAAATGAAAACGAAGAATTAAGCAGAACAATACAAAGTGGAGTCATTTTTACAAAGAAAAATTACCAAAGAGTTGGAAATTGCGATTTAAAAATATTTTTAGATGTGCAAAGTACACGGACATCCATTTACAATAATTTGAAATCTTCTTTTTCAGATTATTATAAATTAATTTACAACAAATTTTTATTATTCCAAAAGTGACGATAAAAACATCAGGTAATGAAAAAAATCCCGCTTTCTATATTTATTTTTGGGATAGCGTCAGCTTGAAGCGAAGCCAGACAACTATCCATTATTCCCAAAAATTATGTGCGCAAAATCTCTTGATGACGATTCTGCACGAACTAAAAGTTCGTGTGGCATCTATTTTAATTCCAAATTAAGGAAAAAAAATGCCACGCACCCTTTTTACAGAATAAATTTAAAATTTATCAATTTATTTATAAGGAATTTCTTGTTTAAATAAATTTATGGGATTTGATAAATCCATCATAAATTGTACAAATACTTTCCTAAATTGGAACTTTGGATGATGCACAATTATTAATATCTCAATTTAAGAAATGGCGAGGTACATTAATGACAATAACTAACTACCAAAGAAACCAGGTAAAGCACAAAGTAAAGCAAAACGAACATACAAATTATCTCCCCTCATCCATCTCGATGATCTATTTGCCCATTTGAGGGAATATTTTGTAACGTTGAATAACTAACTAGTTCAATTGTCGATCTATCTTGCATTCTCATCACAATAAATATTTCCCTATTCTACCCATATAACCAGAATACTTTTATTTGTGGGAAGAAGTTTCTTGTTGTTGTCATCTAATTACACCAAGCCCTGATGAAAGCTATTACTCTATAGTGATAATAATTCTGAAATGGATAATCAAAATGACACAGATTATAAAAACAATGAAGAAGGTAATAATGATAGAGGCAATTCAAACCGCATAGAGCAGTAAAAAACGGGGGAGGGACTAGTCATATTGTAGTTGAATATAGGAATATACTTGAACATAGCCGAACAGGAACTGTGATGTAAAAAGGTTACTTTATTGATAGATTATTAAATTGGTTTGATCGTGTGTCAACAATGAAGCCCAGAATAAGACTATCATATAATATTGATTCTTTATATCTCTTAAACTGTAACACAAGTAAAAAAATTTGCTGCACTCTTAATTAATGTGATGGTTTAAGCATGTTCTTTGAATTAGGCAACAGCGTAGTTATTTTTCAACAACACAAGTAATATACTCCCTGGAAGAAAGTATTTAGACACTAGGTTCTTACGAATAATTGTTATTTTATATAGTTTAAAGAGCTGGTCGTATCACATCTACTACATCTACTACAAATGACAATAATTTGATTGGCATCAATAAGTACCACAAGAATTATTTCTAATGATAACTGTACATTATTAACACAACAACAAACAAACATTGGAAATTTGTCAATGGAGAAAGTATCACAAACTTGTTGTGAACATAACAATAATAATAATGTAAATGATTTCTATATTCATTGAAGATACAATATCAAAGGTCGTGACATCATAAAATAGTATTATCAACTAGATAAAGATTAATGACAGCAAAAGAAAATTTGGCAAAATTATGATAGTATCAATTATACGCATTTTTAATACTCCGGAAACTATAGTAGTGAATTTACTCAAAATCTTATTGGCTGGCTGTGACGGCTCATAATATAAATGGACTAATTCACCAGTTTATTCTGCGTATTTGCAATGTCACATCGATGTCATTTACCGTAGTAAAAATATTTAAATAAATTTCATCCATTTTTCAAAAAAAAAGGTAAATTGTTATGGAAAATTCAAAAAAATCACTGTTTGGTGGTGCGATAAAAGCATACATCCCTGTGAAATTTCAAGATGCCAGGTATGATTGTTACCATTTACATTCTCGTTTACTGCTACCACCAATTCATGTAATCAAGATCAATAAATTCGCATTTGTTCAATTATCTAGTGACATTCGTTCTGTTCCAAGTAATCAAGAAGTTTTTTTAGATCTGAATAGTGATCAAAGCATCATTTTGGAAATTTTGGAAATGGTTGAAGCTCAAAATGAAGAAGCTGCCAAGTAAAAACTTAAAAAATAAATAAAATATATATAGATATATAAAAATACAAATACAAATATAATTCAAGCTTAATCATATATTACTATTATTATTATTATTATTATTATTATTATTAATTTAGATATCATTTTAATTCCATAGCATTTGACAACGATGCAGAAGATAATTCGATAATTCAGGGAATCGTTCCTTTAACTTCTGCTTCAGATATTCCACTTCTCGGGTAAGCGAACAAATTACAAGTTGATTGATTGATTGATTGATTGATTGGTTTTTTCACCAACAAAACAACGTTCCAATCAATTAATTCGATTTTTTTTTTAATCAACGAGTATAGAACTTCGGATGTTCAAGCATATTTTCTAAATGGACAACAAGTCGTCACAAAATTCAACGAAGATAACCCGAACGCACGCAATCAAATAAACGTATTCATGACGTTGATTCGTTTGTTTGCCCATAAAACTGACATAGTTATTCATTACAATGTGCCATTTTCTATTGGTGAAGGTAGTAGTAGTAAAGATACAGCTATAGCCATAGAAAATGATGCTACAGTTGCTCTAGAAGAATTTAAAAAAGTTGTATCGAGTTTTGAAATTCTTGATTGGTCCCTATTTGGCAATTAAACTAATTCATGTATAGAAAAAAATAGTTACTCTTTTAGCATAATTACTTCTAATTTATTAAATTTTCATATGATAAGATATCTTGTATCCCGCTCATATTCCACACAAGTCATTGTAATAAAAATTGACCAATCAAATTGACTAACAACAATATCAATTTTTTCTCGATCCAACATTTTAAAAATTTAAATGATAAAAATTGAAAACTACCTTTTTTTTTTGACTGTTTTTCCCTCTCCTCTCCTCCTTATTTAAAAGAAGAAATATGTCTGGTACAACTTCACCCATTTCTAGCATATATAGTAACAGTAATAGCAACAGCAGTAATAGCAAATTTAAAACTAGCAATGGTAGTTATGGTAACAACAATAATAACTTTAATGTTTCATGGTATAGAAGTCACGGATATCATCCACCTTTTGATTTTTGGTTGATTATGCATTGGATTATTATGATTACACTTATAATAGGATATTTTGAATTTTCACTCAAATTTGTAATTGATGATGAAAAATATGGCGAACAAATTTTTATAAACAATGTTAATAATAATTATAATAATAACAATATCGATGATAGTAATAATATAGATGATAATATAAATGAAAATATAGGTGATGGTGATAATATTGGCGATAACAACAATCAAAATTATTATTATAGAAATATATTTACAATACAAAGAAGAAAATCAACTTGGAAATTTTTAGAATTAATTTTTTGTTTAGTTGTAATATTTACAAGTATAAAGGTTTCTTTAACCGATACATCAGATTTTAAAGTTATAAAAGAGGGAAGAGGAAGAGATTTGTCTTATCCAGGAACTAAAGGTGCACCCATAGTAGTGGATGGTTGGTGTTATATCTGTAGATCTCATGTGTTAGTATTTATTTCTCTTTACATGATAAAGATATGATAAATGGGGTTTTTTAGAATTTTAATTTTTAATAATTTATCTTGTATCATTTTTTTAGAGGATCTGGCACAAGGCATTGTAAATTTTGTAATAAGGTATTATTATCGTTACCATTACCATTTACCATTATCATTATCACACACGCACTCTCTTTCAATGTCTTTAATGACTATTTTTATATTTATAACTAGTGTATCCAAGGCTTTGATCATCATTGTAGATGGTTAAATAGTTGTATAGCCGAAGCAAATTATCGGTAAATTTCACTGTAAATAGTAAATTAATGATATAATAATAATATAATAAACTAATATTAATTATAATTATATTATATTATTATTATTAACTAGTACATTTATAATATTTATAATTTCATCTCTTTTTGGATCAACAATGAGTCTTTGGCTTTCTTTATGTGCATTGAGCGTTTATCTCAATTCCGGGACACAACATGACTATGAAATGAATAGCAAGTATCCAAACTATTATTTAACACAAGTTTAATTATTTAATCATTAATTAACACACATTTATTGTTTCTTTATTAGTACATAAAATATTTTCATCTACAAATTCAAATATAGTTATATTTGGATTATTTGTTAATATACTATTAATATTTCTAAGTTCAGTTGTTGCATTATTTGTTGGATATTTATTATTCTTTCATTTGAGACTTTGTAAGTACTCTATACGATTATATACATATTTTTATAAGATATAGACTTATTTATATGTTATTTTGCAAATATACTTTTAGATTTAATGGACATGTCAACAGTTGAATATTTAAGTCATCGACAACAAATTGGATATTATACCAATGTACACTACGAAGATGAATATGACGAGAATCCTTGGAGAAGACCTTATTATTCAAATCCATGGCATAGAAGATTAATGTATATAATAAGAAAAATTTTTTGTGTAAGTGAAATAACAATATAAAAATAATTATATATAATTATTAATATTTAATAAATTAGATGATAATTTTAATCTCTTTTTAATTTAAAAAAAAAAAAAAAAAAAAAAGTTATTTAGGTGTTGGGCAAAAGAGTTCAGAAAAAAAGATAAACTTTCATCATCTTGGGATTCAACTCATCATAATAGGTTTGATGTATATAATGTATAACAAAAATAAAAAAACCTTTATAAATATTTTTAAATTCAATCAATCCCAATCAATCCAATCAAGCAATTTATTTGTTTATTTTGAATTCTTGACGAGGGAAATCAAAATGAGTGAGAGAATCATTTAACCAAGTTATAATCGTAGTGATATTAATAAATTTATTGTCAAAAGAAAAATCAATTAAAAAAGCGATCAACTCTGATAGGATAAAAAGAAATACTTTAAATCCCAATCAAATGTCTATTCTCCTTCTTCTTCTTCTTTAACTACGAAAACTTGTGACGGCCTAATAATTCTACCTTTCAAAATATATCCAACTTTCTGTACATTTGAAACAGTCCCAACCTCTTTACCAGGCACAACTTCCTGATATACTGCCTCGTGTATATTTGGATCAAATTTTTCCCCTATGGGATTAATCTCTTCTATACCATATCTTTTCAAGGTTGCTAACAATTCTGATTCAGTTAATGAAAGACCCGAGTATAAACTTACAAGTGCACTGTTCTCGGTGTTGGTACGTAATTCTGGCGGTACAGAATTTAGTGCCAATCTTAAATTATCAAGTGTGTTGAGTACATCGGTGGCGAATTTTTGTATTGCAAAATCTGATTTTTGATCTATTTCTCGTCTGGTTCTTACTCGTAAATTCTCCATTTCAGCCAAGCATCGTAAATAACTGTCCTGCATAATCATAATCGTAAGGATCATTTTTGGAAAAAAGTGAGGATAATTCAATTGATTTTTTTTTTTTAAATAATAACCTTGAGTTCAGCTATCTGTTTATCTTTTTGTTCGATTTCTGACGTAGATTTATCTTTTGAATCTATTTCTGGATTATCGTCTCCTTTTGCTTCTTTTGGCGCATCTTGTTCTTGATTATTTGATATGGTCGAATATGATTGTTGATTTTGGTAAGGATTTTTTGAAAAGTGATAATTTTGAAATAAAATTGGCTTTTGACGTTGAATTGTTGCAATTGATTTTATTTGATTGGTAATTCCGCCGCAGTTAATTCTGATTAATGAATTATTAGACCTTGTAAGAAAGATAAATTGTCTTCTTAATGTCGATGTGATAGAATTCATATTTTTATTATAAAAAAAAAAAAAAAAGATTTTCCAAAATCTTTAGATTAAATTTCCCACAATTACACGTGCTATCTATTTACTTATTAAAAAGTAATCATCCAATAGATTTTGGATAATAATAATGAATGGAACGACCAGTTTTAGGCACCTTTTTTCCATATTCGAAACATTGTTAAACATAAAAAATAAAACTTAATATAAAAGAAGCTATAAAAACCGAAAAAATTCAAAATTTGAGAACAATTTTTAATGCTTTGCGTAGATCACTATAAATTATTAAACAATATGTATGCATTTTTAAAAATGTTCGCTTTTTTTTAATATTAATAATCAATCGGGTTCATTGTTAATTATTTTTTTCCTTTATATTATATTACACTTTCTAGATTAAAATTAATCGATCAACTTTAAGGAAAAATAATTTTAGTTTTCTTGGAATATATATATATAATATTAATTCATTAGAAAAAAAAATGAAATGCTCACAATGCAAAATCGAAAAACTTTCCAAGGAGTTTTTTTCGTCTACAATTACTGAACGTTGTCAACACGTTACTTCTTTTTGTTTGAGGGTACGTTATTTGTTATTTATAAATTTTAAGCAAAACAAACCAAAATAAACATTTAACTTTTTTTTTTTCTCTAATCAAACAATCAATAACCATTGTTTCATACTTGAAGTGTTTAATAACTCAATTAAACGCAGGACCAAAACAAAATTGCCCAGAATGTAATCAAAAACTTGGACCCGAGGAATTAAAAGCTATAAGCTTAGCATGGGATAAAGCACCTTTTAAGGTTGATATCGATAGCATTGGCAGCGTAGTACCAACAAATCAACCGTCTGATAATTCTCAAGGTGCAGCAGCGACAGGAGTTATTTACATAGCTTCTTTGGATGGGACAAAACGTACATTCCAAATCAAAGATATAAAGACCATTGTCGCTTTACGAGGTTTGATTAAAAATGAATTCAAAGTTGACCCTATGAAACAAAAATTGATTTTTAATGGAAAAGAATTGCAGGTAAAAAATAAAATTAGACGTTCGATTGTATATTTAATTTTTTTTTAAAAAAATATATTATTGTTATTATTATTATTATTATCATCATCATCATTAAAAAATGATAATCATGATTGTTGTATATAATTTTTTTTTTTGGTAAAGGATTATACTGATTCGAGACAGAGCACATTATCAGATTTCGGTGTAGTGCCTGGTGGTTTAATACAACTCATTGTGGTTCTTTATAGCATTTCAAAAGCAGAAGCGATCAAGAATTTGACATTTGATTTGTTCTGGGACTATCCAACAAGTGGTGCCACTGATTATTTGGATGGAACTTGTTTGGTTTATGCAGGTGTTGCTCTTTGGAAAAAATATGATTATGCTTCGGTTTTTTATCCTAAATTTCCTCACATGAAACATTCTGGAGATGTCATGGATGGAACTAATAAAAAAGGTAATAACACATTGTATGTATGGTATATGTATATATATATACACACACACGTGTGTGCGTGCGTATGTTAAATGAATAGTAACAACAATTATTATTATCATCATCATCGCCATCATCGCCATAAATAATACACAAAAAAATAGGCCATCAAAGAATCACTGCAAAGCTTGATCAATTACCACCGGAAGTAACCCAACTTTATTTTATACTTTCATCATACTTGGCACCAACAATTAGCAATTTTCCTTCAAAAAATTTCAAAATGTATGATGAAGCTACACCTGACAAAGAATTGGTAAAATGTACATTTGACAATGCAAACAATAGTCAAGCTGTTATAATGTGTTGTGTACGAAGAGCGCGTGATGGAATGTGGGAAGTAATTCCAATAAATAGGGCGGTAGGTGGAAATGTCAATAATTATGATTTGATTGAAATTGGAATTGGCGAAGTTGGATTAATGTATTAAAATCTAATGATTTTGATGGGTTGGTAAGAATCATGTATGTATGTATGTATGTATATGAGTGGATAAAAGTAAAGAATAATTTTTTTTATTAACATTTTGTTTTGCTATAAATAAATAAATATATATGTATTATGTATATATATATAATGATTGTATGTATTATTATTATTAACAGTAAAAACATTTATTTCTCTACTATGTTAAATCTTGCCATAGATTATTATTATATTGATAAAATTATTATTAATTTCTAACACGAATCTATATTATTTACAAAAAAAAAAAAAGTTTTTTTATTATCTGTGTGAAGTATAAAGAGAATATATGTGAAAAACAAACACATTTTATACATATTACAAAGAAAGAAATATAAAAAAGGCAAAGAGATTTGATTACCTTTTTTTTCCTCAAGCTAAAAATCATATTTTCCAAATATTTAAACGTTCCTCCAATTCCTCACAGAGTTGATCTTCATTAATTGAATATAATTCACTAAAACACACAGGTGGTTCACGATCTATAAAGAAGTCGTATGCTTTCATACGTTTTATATTATTGTTAGTTGTTTCGGTGGTGGTATTATCATTATTAGAGGGATCAGGTGTTGTTTTTGTGGAATTGTTTTCAATAAATTTAGAAACATTCCAAGTGCATACAATAGCAATCAAGAACATATCGACATCTGACATGCCTTTTGGTTCTTTTTTGCTATTATTAAATCTTTGTGTTCTTCTTGCTAGTTTCTCGTTCTCCTCAGCTGATGATATTATCCTTGAATCTTTTATCGAATTCCAATTATTGTTATATTTAGACGATTCGTTGTTATTCATGTATTTTCTACTGTCTAAATAATCAAAAGCAATTAACATGAGTTCTTCTTCTCTCAAGAAAATTCTCCAAAATAAAAATTATTTACTTTTTGTATTAGCATTATTATTATTATTGTTATTGTTATTGTTGTTACTGCCTTTATAATTGTTGTTATTACTAGCATAATTATTGACTCCTCCACCACCACTCTTGTTCGAGTCATTAGCCACGGACGGCTCATTATTCTTTTTATTTTTCCTCGTCATTATATTATATCTACCTACACAGCTATTTATTTTTTGTTAAAAATTCTAGTCTTTAAAAACTCATAAAATATCATTATAGTTTGTAAATTTTGGAAACAGGAGTGTAGATCAATTAATTTTATTTCAACACATTATAATGATTTTCTACAATTACATATTGATGTATATATTTTTTTCTCTCTATAAAAAATTATAATAAATTAACCGAAATCTTTATTTTTTGTTTTCTTTATTTTCTTTTGTATTGTTATTATTATTTTCAACACCATTACCACCACCACCACTACCACCAGCACCATTATTATTTTCCTTTACATCTTTTGATGAATCCTTTATTTTATTTTCTTCCTTTTTCTCCTCTTCTTCGGGTTGAATACTCTCACCTTTCAAATTCTCAATTTTATTATTAATCAGATTATGTAATGCAATTACAGCACGAACCAATGATGACAAATATATAACCAACAGTTGATCATTTGTTTTAACCGAAAATGCCTTGACCATTTCAGTGATGTTTAAATTTGGTAATAGATTAAAGATGTCTTGAAGATTATAAAGGATTTGGTGATTGATGGGCAAAGTACCGTTAACTACCTTTTGTAAATAATCACGAATCTCCTCCAATCTTGATTGTAGACCCTTCAATGAGTTTAGTTGATCTGTCACGCGTGTGGAAAGAGTTCCAACTGCATTATCTTTTATATCACGTAAAAGATGTTCTACTCCTATTTCCTCGGCTTCTTCAGCTTCGATTTGTGAAGGAACGTGCATAAAAGTTTTTGTGGTCGCTGTGCCATCCTACAATTATTATATCGATTGATTGATTAATCGATCGATAAATAAATAAATAAATAATAATTAATAGTAAAAAATAAATAAATAAATAAATAAATAATAATCATTGATTTTATTATTATGATAATGATCATGCTAATTAAAAAAAAATCCTACATCTTTAATCTCTTCAATGGCAAAGTAAGCATCAGTTGGTATACCAATATCTTTAGGTTTAACGTCCACAATAACCAAAACAGGATTTGGTGTATACCTTTTAAACAATTCATTAATTTCCAAATCTGATGCACGAAGTTTAGGTCCACTATGGTACCATCCAATCATCTTTTCTCTGGCTAATAAATTAACGAATAAATAATGATAAATGAGTGATGGTAATGGTCAATAGTAGATTAAATTTATTATTATTAATTATTATCATCTTCATACCATTAACTTTTTTAAACATATCGTTCATAGCTTCTACATAATTATGGTCCAAAAACCAAACTGACAGATCTCTTTCGTCTTCTTCAAACGGAACTACAAAATGAATGAATCAACCAACGAATCAATCAACCAGACTCGATCAATAAATTCAAACAATTTAATAATAATGATAATAACAATAATAATATCAACAACGAAATCCCAATCAATTATTCTTACCAGCAAAACTATTAGCAACATTAACGGTTTTACCATTATTTTGGCCCAACAAAACTCCAACCACTCGTTTTTTTGTATTCTTTGCAACTCGATTATAGTGATCAACAACTGACAACAAGACTAAAGGGTGAACTATCACTGTGGTGTTTTGAGAAACTGCTATAGGATTGATTGTGGTTGGCACCATCTTCAAGTATTTTCGATATATATACGATAAAAATATAAAAAAACAAATAGGAATAAAAAAATATTTATATTGAAAGAAAGAATTTCCAATAATAAATAGATTGAGATGATAATAAAGTAAAAGATAATCATTATATGGGGCATATTGCAACAAAGTGAACATTTGTATTACCAAGAATTTCAGGGATCAAAATTTAGTCATTTGTAACGTGATCATAATTAAGAGTTTTATAATGTCCCATTTGTTAAGTGATAAAATAATTAATATGAAACTCATTTACATCAAATCTACTATGTAACCCAAAAATTATAGTATTATCAATAGTATTTTAAAAAAAGGAACAAAGTAAAAAAATTGCCTCTTATATTTTCAAAATAAATGATACTCAGACACTTGAAGCTTACTGTAACTAAACCAGACAAAGTGAACATTGGTATTGCCAAAAATTTCAGGGAACAAAATTTAGTTTTATCATCACAATTAGTTTTATAATGTCTCATTTGTTATCTTAAATGATATATAGAACTATTCCTCTTTATGTAAAAATAATAATATGAAATTAATTTACATCAGATCTAATATGGAACCCAAGAATTATAGTACTATCAGAAGTATTTTGAAGAAAGAACAAGGTGAAAAAATTGCTCCTTATATTT